TATTTTTTTAATTTCACGCGGGAGAAGCAGCGAGCAATAACTGGTTAGGAATATTATAAATGCGAAAGTTTAGATGGATGTTTGTTAGTTTGTAACCTAAACGGCTGAACGGATCTAGATTAAATTTAGCATAGGTGTAGATGATAGTCTGCTTGCAACATACTTGATTTTGTTTTTTTTTTTTAAATCGTAATAGACGGTGTTCGAGCGCTAGCTAATCTAGAATGTTTTCAAAGCTTATTTTCTTAAACTACTTTCAGAAACTAGTGTCGATGAATACTTACTTATTCGACAAGTTAAGTTGCGAATATTTAACTTTGATTCCCTTTGGTTATGTGTATATCTATATAGATTATGTATCAAAAAGCGCTGTAGATATCGACTTGTAAATTATTTAATAACAATCATCATTATCCTACTCCCGTAGTGGCGCAACAGGTTTTTGTCCTCCACATAACTCTATCATACGTCATCTCAGTCACTCCTTTCTCGATCATGTCACCTTTCACACAATCCATCCATCTCTTTCTATGTCTACCTCTACCCATGTACCCTCCACGCTCATAACTAACATTCTCCTTGTAACATACGATTCATCCCTCCTCATAACAATCCAACGTGTAGATATGTGATGGAAATATCGGCTTCTGTTCCCTGACAGTGACGTCATTATTAAGCTATCTGAGCCTGTATCAGCTAGTAGTGGGACAGGGCTTAATTCTTGTGACACCATCTTTGAATACAAAATGATAGGTATACGCTTTTGTGTTGTGTTTTGTTTTCAAATAACTAAATTAACGGATCGTGGATTTTGTGTACGAGTAATGCAAAATATGTCTAATTTAAATACATATGTTACACTAGATATCGCCCGCGACTCCGTACGCGCGGAATTATGAAAGAAATAGTTAAGTAAACACATAGACTATGTGTTCTTCCAGGCTATGTTCTACATTTGTGTACTGAAAATATCTTCTAACAAACAACCTTTATATGTACACTATCGTATTTAAGAATATGTATATGATATAATGTGAATATATTTATTACTGGCTGTTGCTCGTGACTTTGTTCACGTGAAATTATAAAATACGAGCTGTTGCCCGCGACTTCGTACGCGTGGTATTAGAAAGCATAGAAACTATAAAAAATACAAAAAGCTACGTATCCCGCGGGAACCGAACATTTTTCGGGGATGAAGCTTATCCTAAGTGTACTTCAGACTTTGTTTTATATCTGTGCCAAATTTTAATAAGATATGCTTAATCGTTGCAGAATGATCGAGTAAACATTAAAAAACTAAATAAATGAATCCCACGGGAACCGTAACTATTCCAGGGATAAAAAGTAGCCTATGTGTTCTTCCAGACTATGCTCTAAGCCTGTGTCAAATTTCATGGAGATCCGTTCAGCTGTTTAGGCTACAAACGCTAACAAACATCCATCCATCCATTCATCCATCCATCCATCTAAACTTTCGCATTTATAATATTAGTAAGATAGTCTATGTAAGACAGCGATAACGTAACTTTTTAATGATGAAATCAAAACATTAGTTTTTTTTTTTATTTCAATGCATATAAAATCCAAAAAACACATTTTTTTCTTCTTTATAATCTTACTAATATTATAAATGCGAAAGTTTAGATGGATGTTTGTTACAGTTTGTAGCCTAAACGGCAGAACGGATCTCGATGAAATTAAGCATAGATGTAGTAGATAGTCTGAAATAACGCACAGGCAATTTTTTTTAATTCCACGCGGAGTCGCGGGCGATAACTAGTATTAGTATGAATCAGACACATTTAAATATTGCTAAATTAACTTTATTCAATATACAAGCTTACAATTTCTAGTTGTTAGTGACTTAAGTTATTAAAGTAAATCAAGTTAATGAATAAACAATACATATGTTAAGTTGCGAACAAGATTTTAATAAAGTATGGAATGTTTGACAAATTAAAGCAATAAATAACTTAGATTGCTGCAAATATTACCGGGAAAATATTAATATTCAAGTAATTTGTCTAGAATGAACCTCTAGGGTATTGCTTTAACTTAGTTTTATAGTTATTTCAATTAACTTTGATCCAAGTTACACATAAATGGCGTATTCTAAGTAGTAAATAAGATTATTTTCAAATAACTTTATGCTTTTCTTTACATTTACTTGAAATATATCCAAATTAAAATTCAAGCGTTTTTTTAATTCTAATCCCTGTTAGTACAATGAAAGAATGGGAAGGGAAAGTACATATGGCAGGGGATAAGACGCCTTCCATGGTCCACCCACCTTATTGGAATTTTCACACTGACATTAACTTTTTTTTATAATATAAGGTAACAAACGAGCAAGCTGCCACCTGAATCCACCGAAATGGAAAGCGACCGCTGCCCATAAACATCCGCAATTGCAGATGCGTTGCCTACCTTCATTGACGGAGGAGGAGACGCACATAAAGAGGACATTTCCCCTTATGTGTCTCCTCCGCCGTCAAATCCACTATTACTTCCCATCCTTTCCTCTTAAGAAAAGGGTGTAAAGGGAAAGAAACTAAAATTAGGCCTCCGGCACCACACTCATCAGACGATACGTGGAATTGCTTCCACTTCACGCCTGTTTTCTCTGTGGTCGTGGTATTTCACCGGGCGAGCCGACTCCATCGTGCGAAGATGTTAAAGCGGGCTCTACCACTGTTAAAGAAATGTAAGAGCGGCCACACCTTTGACTAATCGCAGAACTGTTGTGCGATTGTCGATTGTTTCGCAGTCAACTGTTTAGTTGCTAACTAAAAATCGATTAGTTTACCTTCATATAAGCTTATGAGAACCAAAGCGAGACAACAGTTGTGGGATAGTTTACTCAAAGGTGTACTAAGCGCCAATGGACGTCTGCAACGCCAGAGTCGAGAGAGACCGATTCGAAACAAAAGGTGTGTTTTAAAAAGGTTTAACAGATTATAATGTTTGTTAACAACAGATAATCGAGATTAAATATCTTTACTATAACCGTTTATGTTAACGGGATACTACTGTTTTAATCTTTTTGACGCTTTAAAGAAGCGTTGTTATTTAAAAAATTAAAACCAAACTAACTGTACCTTTAAATCACTTATTAGCTGTTTTTATGAGTGTGGTGCCGAAGTCCTAATTTTAGTCCTATTCCCTTCCCAACTTTATAAGGAAGAGATGGAAAGGGAAAGTGGATTAAGTGGAGACGCTTAAGGAGGGGAATATCATTATTTGCGTCTCCTTTCTCGATTAAGGGTAGGCAACGCATCTGCGATTGCGGATGTCGAGGCAAAGGTAGCTTAGCCTTTTCGGTGAATTCAGACGCCCGCTAGTTTACCTTTATAATATAAAATGGCGGACAGTAAAAAAGAGATATTAATTTGAAATATACAATGGAAACTCACTTTAAAGTAGTGAAGATAATTAAATAAAAATCGTGTAAACAGACTCTGTGTTCAGATATTCAAATGAAGTCACGTCTCTGGACGCCCCTTGATCCCGAGATACGATCTCTATTGACTGTTAAAGCGCTAGACTAGACTTGGATAGTGTTTTTTTAAGGCAAACGCAACACAATCTTAAAGCCAAAGGAAAAAGTCGAATTCAATGAAAAAATTATAACCCTGTAATCGTACAGAAATACGCATTTTTGTATACTTAAATAAAATAACTGACAATCTCAAATGTGTGAATATAGTTTCTAGTTTCTATTGAAACCGACTGTGATACTAGCTTTCGCCCGCGAGTTCGTCCGCGTGGATTTAAGAAGAACAATAGTAAGCCTATGTGTTCTTTCAGACTCTTCTACGTCTATGCCAAATTTCATCGAGATCCGTTCATCCGTTTAGGCTACAAACTCTTACTAACATCCATCTAAACTTTCGTATTTTTAATATTATAGGTAGTAAATAACCCCGTTTTATCCAATATCTTGAGTCAATTTGGCTAAATTATAGTTGGATTTTAGTTTACATTTGATTTAAAATTAATTTTGCTTTGTTATAATAGGTTTAAGAATATATTTATTTCCTTAATAAGAATCACAAAATTCACTTACTTAAGGAACTTATTTATCTAACATTTATATTATTATATAATGCATGTGCATGCATGCATAATCGCTAATAAAAATGAAATCTTTTAGGTAGTACTGGAAATATTCAATCAGAAAACATTAATAAACAAAGTTGGCAAATAAAACGAAATGTTGTAATAAAAGTCACGTGGCTCGCAACAAATGATAAGCTTTTATTGATTTTAATGTAAAAATCAATCCCACAACAGAACTGTAAGCATAAGAAATTTAATTAAAAAAAATCAAAGTATTTACCAAACACAGTTTAGTTTGTAATGGCGGAAAATTTGCGTGAAATTCAATATCTTATCGCGTTTTATTAAAATTAAATTCCGCAACTTTGCAAAACAATTGGCCGCCAATTATTTTAACGGCGAAAATAATTACGAACGCCGCAGCGTATTTCAATACGATTTGAAATCGATTTATTTTCTATTCGAACGCACCTTTATCTCGCGGCATTAAGCTAATAAAGCATCGGAGTTAATTAAAAAGTATTACTCGGTTCGTGGCAGAAATCGACGCGCCTTCGACCGGCGCGGCGGAGAAAAAAAAAACAAAAGAGACCATCGACGCGTTAACCCTCCCTATAGCGCCTTAATTGAATCACAACCGACGAAATTCGAAAGCACATCCACCCCGAGCGATAGAGACCAACTCGAGCCGACTCGTCATCCGGCTGGTTGCGAGCCGAGAGCGGCGCGCCGAACCGCCCACTATTAAAGCGTTCCAAATTCAAATTCCACCTTTACACCCCGGCCGACCAATCGCAGCTCAAGTATTCAAATAAAGAACGCCAAAGCGACATTCAGCCGACCCCCATAAGGTTTCCTTAGCCAATAGGAACACGGGACTCCATGTTAGTCGGTTTTTTTCCCGCGCGACGGGCGTCGGGGAGACTGGACCGGCTCATTCGGCCGCGCGCCGCCCTGGCGTTCGTATCGCGCGCTCGCGTCACGAAAATGGATTGTGTGTGCACATGTGATCTCGATTCGGTGTAATTTTGTGACGGTACTGTTGCGGTGAAGCATGATGCCTCTCGCACCGACCCCTGTGGTGGCGGTGCCATCGAAGCCGAAGATCGGCTTCAGTATAGACAGTATAGTGGGGGGTTCGGAGCGGCCGCGGGCGGCGTCTCCGTCGCCTGGTAGCCCGGGGTCTCCGTCGCCGCTGGCTTCGCCGCGCAGTCCTTCGCCGCGGCCGTTGTTGCGGCCAAGCGCGTTGCCGGCGGTGTTCCCGGCGCCGGAGTTGAAGCGGCTGCCGTACCTGGAGGCTCAGAGCCATCACCAGCAGTTCCTGGCGCATTTCCAGGGCGCAGCGCTGGCCGCCGCGCTCGCCCACCAGCAACAAGGCTTTGGCGCACCGCTTCCGCCGCACCCTCCGCATCACCCCGCCGCCCCCGTGCCTCGAGAGTCTTACCAACTGTACCCCTGGCTGATCAACAGGCACGGCAGGATATTCCCCCACAGGTTCCCCGGAGGTAAGCAGTTAGAAAAATAACACAAACCATTAGGTGCACTACAAAAAAAATATATTGGATTTAAATGTGTCTTAAACGTATCGAAAAAAGAATTATTTATATTTTATTAGTGAAATTCTATAAACATGCCAAGCAAGGGTAATAACAGGCTTTGGTATACCAAATAAAATAATCTTACAAAGAATATATCGCATAATAAGTTTTGCGCTCTCATTTATTAATTTTTTTTTAATCTGTATTCTCAGTAATAATAATAAAAGATAAATAATATTTTTGGATATTTCCTCACAGATAATCATAAGAATTACAATTGCTTATACGACAATAAAGATTTTCTTTTTAAAAATAATTTTAAAGCTTTTAAAACCCCGATAGTTTAAAGCCGCCGGCAAAATAATCTTGTGATCAATTAAACTTTTAATTCTTTTTTCAAATTTTATAATGAGATAAAAGACGAATTGTTAATATTGAATAAGTTTTTTTAAATAAAGATACGTTGTATCACTATAGTTTTCGCACGCGACACCGTCCGTGGATTAAAAATAAACAAAAGTGATTAGCCTGTGTTATTCCAGACTATCCTCTACATCTACACAAATCTCCACTCTAACAAACTTCAACCTAAACATTCGCATTTATAATATTAGTATGAATAAAAACATATATTTGTAAACAATTAGTTTCTTACAATGTAGTTATCTGGAAGTTTACATAACATATATATGTTGAATAAAGATTAAATTATCGCAATAAGGTAGCTTATCCAAAAACAAGACGCAATTAAGATAACTTCTATCTGTGGACGCGGTCAGAATCGTTCACGCGGCGTTTATCTTAAAAAAAAAGAAAGTCAAATTTTGACATTTGACACAGAATGTTTTTTTTTTTATCGAGGCACAAGTCAACACTTACAGCCAGTATTAAATTAGTTTCTTTTTAAGCTACTACTAAATGTTTGTTAGTTACTAATATGCTTTTATATTTTATTGTCTTTTGTCAGTATCATATATTTACCTCATTCTTTAACGAACTAACCGTAGCCCGTGGTTTTGCACGCTTTGTTATTGTCCATTGATTTCTTTGGTAAATTATAATAAAGACTCAAGTTAAAAAATTAAAAAGTTAAATAATACTCTTATACTATTTTTCATATTAAACATCACAGCGTTTAATATTTTTTAAAAATGTATTTTTTTATATAGTATAAATCTTATCTGTACTATTATAATAAAGCGTAAACACACACTTCTTTGTTGCCTAAGATGTCAGCAATTACACCATATTTTTGAATAATTCTTTTTTAATAAAAGCCCTACACTTTCATCATGCTTTAGGCTATATATTTTCACGCCATTAAATTTAGGAGTAAATATTTTGGATAAAACCCCTAATGTGGGAAAGAGACCATAAGTTGTTGCCAACATCAAGAAAGAAAGATTGCTAAGGCTTGTCATGTCATGTCATTTTGATATTTACTTTTGACAATTTGACAAAGGTAAACAATAAAAAAAAAATTTCATAATTTCATGCGGATGAAGCCGCACGGGAACAGCTAGTATAGTATAAATCTTATCTCAGTAATATTATAAATACGAAAGTTTAGATGGATGTTTGTTAAAATTCACCGCATAAACGGCTGAACGGATCTCGATGAAATTGACACAGATGTAGAGGATAGTCTGGAAGAAAACATAGGCTATTTACTTTTTTATTTCACGCGAAATGAGTCGCCGGCGAAAGCTTGGATAATACGACATTTAAATCACGTCCAATTTCTGTGACAACCCTATAAAATAAAATGTTTTTTTTTTAAATATATTGCAATGTGTTTAATATGTCAAAATGACTATAATGACCTCATAATTATCAAAAGTAATTTAAAATCGATTTATTAAAAGATTTATAATCGGAATATAATTAATTTGTTAAAATTAAAATTAGTATTACGATGTCTATTTATAATTTGAAATCGTAAAGTTGTCAGTATAAGTAACTATAACTAGCAAGGGTCACCTTGTTTTGACCGTAAATGGAACATTCACATGTGTGTGTTAATTGCTGACGATTTGAAACGGTTATTCAATTTATCTTCTAATAGACGCCATCTTGTTTTTTAAATTTATGTCACGGCAAAGAATCGCCCGCGAATCCGTCGTCGAAAAAAAAAACAAAATTAATTAACCTATTTTTTCTTTAAGACTATCTTCTATATCTATGAAAAATTTCATCGAGATCCGTTTAGTAGTTTAGGCTACATCAAACAAAGTATACATTTAAACTTTCGCATTTACTAGCTTTCGCCAGCGACTCTGTCCGCGTAGAATTAAAAAAACGAAGTAGCCTATGTGTTCTTCCACACCATATTATACATCTGTGCCAAATTACATTTAAATCCGTTCAGCTGTTTAGGCTACAAACTCTAACAAACATCCATCCATATAAACTTTCGCGTTTATAATATTAGTAACAAGTACAATTAGTATGAAATAATTTTTTTTGTAACTTTTTAAATCACAATCGTTATAATCTGTTAAACGTAACATCTGTACTCGCGTGTTCCCGCGCTAAACGTCATCTGTCAGGGTAATTAAAAAGTTATTCTGTCACTATCTGTGCAACATTTAACCTCCACGGAGTTCTATTTCATAATTACTCCGCGTTTATTCTGATAACCTAAGACCTTATACATTGTAACTATCTTTCCATTAGTCGTAATTATGTAGCTGATAAAGAAAATGTTTATTATAAACTAATGTATTGGTTAATACAATTGATTTGTGTTGTGTTTTCCATATACAGTGTCAACTCCACCTAACGTCCCTCGAATTAACGACAAACTCCCTAAAGCGTCGAAATCAATTGGCTGTGGTTGGTTTAGCTTGTCTTCCATACTATACATAGCATTACCACTCTTCATAACGACCACAATTAAGTAATAAAAAGTGCCTTTTAAATTGCTAAAATTAATAAAACTGCGCAGCCGTGTACGTTCTTTTGTTCGCTTTATCGCGAAAATGGCTTAATATTGCAAGATATGAATAAAATAAGTTAAAAAGTGCAAAATAATTACTGGTGCAGCAAAAGACGTCCGACAAAATTTTGTTTATTTACGTAACTACTAGAAAACTACTAACACTATTTTGAAATAAACTTCTGAATTTTCTTATCTCCATTTAATAACTCTCTATAACGCCACCAAATGGACAGTCCCTTCAGTGTCGTTATAAAGAGTTTACACTATATATAATTAACTTGTTAAGTTTTTATGTTCAAAGATTAACGAACTAGATAATAAGAGTAAATTATAAATAATTTTTACATGTAATTGTATCGGAATTAAAAGTATAGCGAATAGTATTAACAGAAAGTGCATCTAATTTTATTAGATACTAGCTATTGCTCGCGACTTCGACCTCGTGAAAGTTAAAAATATAACCTATGTTACTAACAGATAAATTACCTTTCTAACAGTGAAAGATTTTTTAAAATCGGCCCAGTAGTTGTTGAGTTATTTCAAAATGAATTATTAATTATTCGATTATCAAAAATAAAATAACCGGTAATTTATCCAAGCACATCCCTACGCCACTTAGCAACGTGTCAATTCAGTAGTAATCGATTCCGCTACTAAAACCACCCTTGGAATGAAATTTCATTATCTGTGTAAATAAAAAAATAATGCATATACAGGGGTTGTTTACAAAGAAAATATTCAGCAAATAACCTTTCGGTGTCATCCAAAACGGGGACAATTGACTGCCAACCCCTCGTAAACTAACAATGTTATTTTTATGAACCCGCTACAATAAAATGCTGTTCAAATTTAATTAAACCGGCTTAACGCCCTTTTGTTAAAAAAAAATCAACACAATAGTAATGTAAGAGCATTGACAAAGACGCTTTGTGACAAGGCGGGAAAACGCCCGCGATTATGTGACGCCTTTGTTAAGGTTTTTGATAATTTCGGTAGTTATAGTGATGTTCGAGAGTAGATATCGAGGTTATTTATCGGTTTATCGTTTCTCAATTATTTACATTCGCTAATAAGTATTAGATAAAACTTCTAGATAAATACTAGCTGTCGCCCGCGAATCCGTCTGCGTGGAATTAAAATAAAATAAAAAAAGTAGTCTATGTGTTCTTCCAGACTATCCTCTATATCTATGACAAATTTCATTGAGATCCGTTCAGCAGTTTAGGCTACAAGCTCTAACAAACATCCATCTAAACTTTCGCATTTATAATGTTAGTAAGATTTTATTACGTGGTCATATAATAATGACAGGTTATAAAATATAACCGTAACACTAATTCTTTTCCTATTAAGGTACAATGCGGAATTGTCGTGTTGTCATTTATAGCCGCCATATTGTAGCAAATACTTGTCAGTTGTCACTAAGCTTTGTTAAACAATTGTTCAATTAAATTAATGTACTGTGGAATTGTAAAGTATTTATTACACACTTAAAGACTAACAATTATTAGTTGGTGGCCAGCAATATTAATGCCAACATTGTGTGAATTACAGCTGATTACTGAAACGATAAAATATGTAACAGCGTTTTTCGCGCGGGACGCTAGCAGCACCGAAAAATCAGAACCAAAAGTAATGGCGATTAAGAGATCTTACTACGCCCATAAAATTATAAACTCTGTTATACCAAATAAACTATATAAACCAAACAATTGGTCCTTCGAGCCGGATAAAATCACGCTTGAACACTGATTTCCTTTCTTTAACGTCTATAGATTGTAAGCGACGCTTACGATGCGTAATATTTGTTTCGTTTCAGTATTCGGCCGTTTGCAAGCTAAAAATAAAACGTTGATGACTTAAACTTGACATTATAAAACTAATAAAGTCATTTTAAAATAGTTTTGTATCGTAAAGTAATTTTGTTTTACTAAGCAACATAATGTTGGAAACTTTATAACACTTTTCCGTATAATTATCTTGTATAAATAATTGTTTTGTATTTGCGTGTTTATAAAAGTAAATA